TTTGTTTTTCTTGCTGAGTTTTATTAATATTGTTTTTCTTTTTTTCCCTTCTTTTGGTAAATTTCTTTAACCTCCCCCCACATTCTGCTCAACCATAGCCATGGAGGGTAAGCAGTGCGTGAGTGTGTATGTGCCCTATTCCAAAATGTCTTTGCATGTGACTTTGCCAAATTACTGTTTTAACTTCTTGATTGCTGAAACTGATTTGAATCACACCCTTTCCTGCTGATTGAGGCAATTAAAGTGTGCATTTTCCTAAGGTATGTTCTGATCAATGCACTAGAGTGAATCTGTAATAGCTGTTGGTACCCACTTAACGAAATGCTACAAAATGAAATCACTGTGTGCTGAATCCTGCACACTTTCCTTAAAGAAAGTCTCATCCAAGCACTCCATAGTTTCTTCAGGGCAGTGTATCAGGGGCTTGCAGTGCAACATTTCTGGAGCTAGGACCAGCCCTGAGAGCCAGCAGTAATCAAGTGTAGGGAGCTGAAGGTCCATGAACCATCTCAGATCCAGGAGGAAATCGGGAATTTTTTAACTTTCTGCTTACATTCAGTTGTTGCTTGGGCATGCCATAGTAGGGAATAGCTGCAGGAAACTGGGATGCTTGGTAGTTTTACTGTTTTGTGATACTGAGGATCTTACAAAGGAAGTGTGCAAAGTTTCTTTCATTTCAGACCTGGGATTATTTCAGTCTGCCTTTGATTTAATTCCAGACATATCTAACTTGTTGTAAGTTTTGCTTGAGTAAAGACCACAGGATTTTTAACTTACTAGTTTTTTTTCTGATCTCTTGGAAATCAACTATCTAAAAGCATTCCATGTTTCCCACCTGTACTGGTGACACCATTTTTCTTAACCTGCTGTAAATTTTCACTAACAAAATAATAATGTCATAGAATCATGGAATAGTTTGGCTTGGAAGGGATCTCAAGGATGATCTCGTTCCAGTTCTCTCTTTAACATATCAGTGTGTTACTGTGTGCTCTGCCACTATTTTGGAGCACTGAAAGCCCTTCTGGAATGAGGGACCTGATACCTGTTGCCCTCACAGTGGAACTTGAACCACAGAGATATGTTAAGCACTCAGAACTCTTATTCCTCAAATTATTCCCTTCTCTGTTGAGGGTGTTACACTGGAAAGTCTTTGGGGAAACCCTGGTAGAAGTTGCCCAGTGTCATTTCAGAGATCAGGGTCAGTCAGAAGAACTAAAAGAAACTTCGTTCAGCCTCTGGAGCCAGCGTGCTGGGGCAGCCGGGGGGCCAGGCGGGGGCTGTGGGGACACGGGAACCTGAGCCCGTCCCGGCTGGGAAGCGGCCGAGCCCCATCTGCTGGGGACGGGAGGTCCAGCAGCTCCTCTCTGCTTGCAGATTCAGCCGCAGGAGATCAGCCCTCCTCCCACAGCCAACCTGGACCGCTCCAATGACAAAGTCTATGAGAACGTCACCGGGCTGGTGAAGGCGGTGATAGAAATGTCCAGTAAAATCCAGCCAGCTCCACCTGAGGAGTATGTGCCCATGGTGAAGGTACGGGGACAATACCTAAAATCAGGGTTTATTTCTTCCCTGAATGAGGTCTTCAAGTGGTGTAGGAGAAATTTGCTGGAAAGCTGGAAGTAGAAAAGCTTTTTTCATGGGGTGGGTGACTTGTGGTCAGAGGCCGCAGCTCTGGATTCCATGCCCAGCGTTATGGACAGCAGTGCTTCATGCCCAGCTTGCCTGTGCTTATCCAGGGTGCTGAGTAGTGTGCTGTCTTCTCCACATTTTCACTTTCTGTGAGAAAAACTTGTTATTAACCCTTTGGCATCTTGTTTTGATGGTGATAGACACAATTGCAGGTGGGATTTTGAAGTGCTTTAGGCATGTTCAACTCTATCCAGGTGATTAAATTGCACTCCTAAAATTCTCTCCTCTGCTTCATCCAAGTCCTTAAAGTTTATTTCTTTAATATTTTTTTTCTTAGGAGGTTGGTTTGGCACTAAGAACTTTACTGGCAACAGTAGATGAGACCCTCCCAGTGCTCCCTGCAAGCACCCACAGAGAGGTACGTGGAGTTCTGCTTCCCTGGTGCTTAGCCACTGCCTTCCCACTCAGCTTCAGCCCTTGGGACAGGTTTTGGTGCTCCCTTCTTGGCACAGGTGCACCTTTTAGTTCCCTGAGCAGTTTGAAGGCCTGGGTTATAGTTCTGCATTAAATGCATTTTATTAAAATTGCTGCATGGACTTAGGCTTGGTATCAGTGAGGATGCTTAAACTGGATATAGGTGACACACAAAGGAAGGTGACATAAATCCCAGTATTCCACGGCAGGGAATCATTTGAGGGTTAATTCTTAGTGCAGATGTCACCTGTCATTTGCTTGCACACCAAGTCATTGAACAGGTAATTGAGCAGGGCTTGGTGCAGCTGGAAGGTTGTCTGTAGTTCTGGATGAGGAGTGACTGAGAGCTTTCAATTAAGTTCATAATTCAGACAGTTTTCCTCCAAAACCTTGAACGAGTGTGGTACTGAGAAAGCCAGAGAATGGTTCTCTAAGTGCCAGCTCAGAGGCTCATGCTGACTTAGCAGTGTGCTTAAGCAACTTGTATCTCCCTTCTTGTTTCATTTTTTAGAGCTACCTCTATGTTTTAGAGCTACTTCAGTAATAAAAAGAGTGATGCTAATAAGGACCTGAAAACCCACAACAAGCTGTTTATGCCAAGTTGTGGTTTAAAATCCACTGCTTGGGTCTTGGTGCTGTTTAACAGTGGGTGGCTCAGCAGGTGCCAAATTCCATCTGCTGCTCCACATGGTGCCCTCAGAAACGGCCCAGCTTCAGTCAGGAATCAGGCAGGAGCTGTGGCATTGCTGTGAGTGCAGTGTTTCAAGCACCCCCCCGGGCTGACAGGGCTGTCTCATTGCAGATTGAGATGGCACAGAAGCTGCTGAACTCAGACCTGGCCGAGCTCATCAACAAGATGAAGCTGGCCCAGCAGTACGTCATGACCAGCCTGCAGCAGGAGTACAAGAAGCAAATGCTGACCGCTGCTCACGCCCTGGCTGTGGATGCCAAAAACCTGCTGGATGTTATCGATCAAGCCAGACTGAAAATCAGCCAGTCCAGACCGCACTAAGCACTGAGGGAAGATGTCATCAGCCTCGGAATTCTGCTTGCGACAGGATGTTCCTTCACCTTCCACCAGCAGTGAGGATTAACCCAGTGCAGTCCTGGCCTTCCAGTGCCTCTGGCTTCAGCAGACCTGACCAACTGCTGCTGGTTCTCTCATTGCAACAGTTTAACCAAGTCTTTCTGGTAGGGCTGAGCTGGGCTGGATTCAGAAGGTGGCATTAGCAGCAGGGGCGGTTTGTACAGGAGCCTTCGGGCACTCAGAGCTGGGGCACAGGGCAGGTCACACCATCGCATGGGACACGCTTCGCACTGAGCTGCCACCATTGAGCTGCCACCGGGTCACGGTCTCGGAGCCAAAACTGGTGGAGCAGCAGATGGGAGAAAGATATTGTGAAGAATTCGGGGAAACCTCAGGGCTGAGAATTCTTGCCCACAGTATATGAACTGTCCAGACTGGAATTTTTTTTTATTAGAACACTTACATCGCAATATGCTAATCATGATTTACAGAGAAAGAATAAAAAGCTATATTTTCAAGACTTCAGTCATTTCAAGACAAACTAAAGCCCTCTTCATCTTCCTGCCTTTTACTTTCACGTGACTGTGTGAAGCATTTGTTTGGAACTAGCTGTAGGACACAACTGAAGACTCGTCTTTTTCACCAGGATAACGTGCCAGTTCTTTTGTAGCAATGTTGTTTTCCTTGGAAGTGAAAATGCTGCTTTGTACCAGAGCAATTCAGAGCTGCATTTAGAGGAGATCTGTAACAATTCATGTCCCCCATTTTTATATAATTTATAAAGACAGATTAAAGCCATGATGACTATTTTAAACCCACTGTAGTTAACTAACCCATCCTTTTGTCTATCTTGCCTGGGAGGAGTTACAGTAGAGCAGTGTAATTAGATTTTCCTTGGTTTTCCAGTTATGCCATCTGTTCTGTTAAAATAAAAACCACACTCCCTTTTTGCTGTTGAGGGATATAAATTATTCTCAGGAAGAATATAATGAACTGTACAGTTACTTTGACCTATTAAAAAGGTGTTACCAGTGAAACTCTGACTCTTACTATTTCATGTGTGTGCACAGCAAAAGAATTCTTCCCTGGGTACCTGTGTCTTTTTAAATATAAACAAGTTAATAATACAAATTACCAACCATCCTATCATAAAGTTATTACATAAATGTACAAGGTGGGATAGTGCTGAGTTCCATCAGTGTTTGGTCCAGATGTGGGACAACCCCTTTCCACAAAATGTGCTTTTGGGCATCCTTCTTACACAGCTGAAATTCTGTAATGCCTCAAATGCTTTGAAACACCCATTTGGAACAGAGACCTTACCTTGTTCAGCTGCCCTGGAAAAGTCCTCTTCAAAAGCTATTTACAAAATTCATGCCTTTAAAGCAGCTCCTTTCCATCAGGTGTTACATAACCTCCCACACCCAATTTTCTGGCCAGGTTGTACCTTACACAACCTCAGCCCTTTACCTGACAATTGCAGCCTTATCCCACACTGTGAAAAGCCTCTGGCTGTGCCACAGCTGCCCCTGCACAGGTACCATGGGAGCTGCATTGCTGCCCTAACCAGAGGTGTTACAGCACAAGGCACTGCAGCACCAGCCCAGCCTCAGTCCTTTTGCTGAACACGAGTCCATCCTGCAGCTCCAGGCTGTCATCACATCCTGTGCTCACTGGGATTTCATTCTCCCCTGTCCAGAGGCTCTGGGTGCATGTAGAAGCTTTAATTATTCTTGTCAAACACCAAAAATCTGACAGGAAGTTGTAAAGCCCCAGCTGAACACTCATGAGAGGCAGTTTAATGAGCTGTAGGTAACTTGGCCATCCTCCACTCTCTCCCCCTCACAAACATCCACCTGAGAGACACGAGTACAAGCAGATGTTCTTTATTACAGGCTGGTACAAAACTAATTAGTCAAAAAGACCAAAGCCCATGTCATCATCAGATTCCTCTGATTCTTCCTTCTTTTCCTCTTCTTTCTTCTCTTCAGCTGGAAAATAAACGAGATGGAATTTATTTTCCAATTTATGAGCTCAGAGAAGTCACTTGTCACAAAAGGTGTCACATGCAACGACTAACATCAAGTGTCAAGACCTGAGCAGTCCTAACAACCTAATCCAGCAGCCCAAAAACTAAGTTTGTACTATTAACACAGTGTTTTTGTGCCTTCAGAATTAATTTCTAACAAACCTGAAAAACTTTAAGAGGACATGCTGATGCCCTGTATGATCCTGATTATGTACAGGAAGAGCAGTCTTATTTCTGAGGCAACACTAATCCTGTACACTGACTTCATATGCAATGCCAGTCTTCCTCATGGGAAGGGTGTGCTTTGCTCGAGAACATTCACACACACATACTGCATGGCAGAAGCCACATGGAAACAAGCTTCTCTAACTGGCGCTTGCAGAGCTGTGGCTGACCCATCCCTGGAAGTGTTGGATGGAGCTCTGAACAGCCTGATTCAGAGGACGGTGTCCCTTCCCACGGCAAGGGGTTGGAAAGAGATAACTTTAAGGACCTCCCAACTCCAACCATCCCATGGATCCACGTCCCCACGCCTCGGTCAGACACGGCCACCACTTACCGGGGGCGGCTCCGCCGGCGGGCGCGGCACCACCCGCAGGAGCGGCGGCAGCCGGAGCCCCTCCACCGCCCGCTCCCACGTTACAGATCAGGCTCCCAATGTCAATGTTCGCCAGCGCCTGCGGAGAACGAGAAGCGGCAGCGAAGCCCCGTTAACACGGGCGGGAGGTGTAGCGGGGAGCCCCACACGCCGCCCCTGCCCGGCCCGCGGCCCCTCTCGCCCACCTTGGCGAAGAGCCCCGGCCAGAAAGGCTCCACGTTCACTCCGGCTGCCTTGATGAGCGCGTTGATCTTGTCCTCCTGCAACGAGACAGCGGCGCTCAGAGCCCGCCCGGCCCGGCCCGGCGCGGCCCCTCAGGCGGCCATGCCGCGCGGCCGCCGCCATCTTGTGCGGCCGCACTCACCGTCACGGTGACCTCGTCGTCGTGCAGGATGAGGGCGGAGTAGATGCAGGCGAGCTCGGAGACGGAGGCCATGGCGGGGCGCGGTGCTGGTCGCCGGGTGGTTCGGCCTTAGCTTCGTACGAAGGACTCAGCACCTTGGGCCGCCGCGGAGCGAAAGGGGCTGTGCACAGCGGCGCGGATTTATAATGGCGGTACACGTTACGCCATCTGTGACGTCACCCCGTGACCCGCCGCGCATGGCAGCTGCGCGCGCGCACTCCTTTTTTCCTTCCCCCGCCCATTCCCTCACCGCCCTCACAGGGAACAAATAATTCATTCCTAAAAACGGAGAACAGCGCCGAGTACTGGGGCCAGCCGCTCCCCCTGCACTGCCAGGCCCACCCGTCCCCCCACGGCTTTTGTATCCCTTCTGGAATGCGGACTCCACCGCTGCCCTGCGCAGCCCCGCCAGGGCTGGAAAACTCTGGTGAAACAATTTTCCCAGGATTCAAACGAAACCTCCCTGGCACAGCTTGAGGGACCCAAGCCCTTCTCCCCCACAACTATTTCAGATCTCACTGCCTCGCTAAAACACTCCATTTCGTGTATGTAATAAAATGGGAAGAGAAGGTGCAGAATAAGCCCTTGGTTCAGAACTCTCTACCCTAATTTTTTCCACCTGAACATGAGCGAGAACTTCTTTCCTGTGCAGTGATGGAGCACTGAACAGATTGCCCAGAGGGGGTGTGAAGTCTCCCTTGACTGCAGATGTTCCAGAAGTGTCTGGACACTCCTGTGCCCTGCTGGAGCAGGGAGGTGGCCCCAGGTGATGCCACCGTGGTCCCTTCCAACCTCACCTGTTCTGTGGTTCTGGGATTCTGATGAGCCTGAGCAAATTCCAGAGTTTTGTTCAAATGGCATCATTGGATTGTGAAAAATAAATGTTCTCTGGGGGGGTTTTGTCTTCTTGACAGATGTGCATTTGATGAGCCTTACCTCAGTGGCTGGGCAGATCATGGAACAGATTTCCTCAAAGGTGTGCTAGGGCTCTTCTGGAGGACAGGGAGGTGACTTGGGACAGCCACAGCTCCATCCAGATCAAGTCCTGCTTGATCAGCCAAGGGGCCTTCTATGATGGAGTGACCACATGGAGTGGACAAGGGAAGGGCTACAGATGTCACCTGTCTGGACTTCTATAAAGCCTTTAACACAGTCCCACACAATATCCTTCTGTAAGTGGAGAGAGATGGATTTTATGGATGAACTGTTTGGTGGATAAGGAATTGGCTGGATGGTCCTATCCACAATGCAGTGATTGACTCAATGTCCAGATGGAGATTAGTGCTACATCCCTCAGGTCTGCTTGGCACCATAATGATTTAAAGTCTTCATCAAACTCATGAACAGGGGGATCAGGTGCACCCTCAGCGGATTTGCAGATGACTCCAAGCTGAGTGGTGTGGCTGACAGGCCTGAGAGACCCGATTCCATCCCAGCTGGACAAGGCTCTGAACAACCTGATCTAGGTGAAGATATTCCTGTGCATTGCAGTGGGGCTGGGCTATCTGACTTTCAAAGGTCCCTTTCAATGCAAACCGAGTAAGTCAGACTGTAAAAAATGAGCTTAAGCAAAATTATTTTAAAAAATTGCAAAAAGCTTGAAAGCTTAGAATCCTAAAATGACAATTTTCTATTACCAGCAAAGTGTATCCATCAGTCTGCTTTTGTAGGGCTCCTTTATAGAAATCCCAGGTTTATTAGACCATTACAAGTGAAACCTGAGGTAGGGAAGATGGACTTAACCTCTTGTATCCATCCCTTCCTAAGGATCAGAAATAACTGAGAATTTCACTAAACAAAGATCTAACACTACTCACAGCTGGAGATGATAAATGCACAGTGATGCAGTGCTTAATTTGTGGATGCTTATTCCTATTAGTGTGGTCACCAGCTCTGAATTTAAGCATTTACTTAAACTTCCTATTCAAGGCACAGGGCAGTTGTCTACATTTTTATACCTAACTCAAAGCAGCAAATAAATGCACCTTTCCAGAGGGATTAAATATCCAGGAACCTCTGTCACTGCTGTGTGCTTGAGGATGGGATTTCACAGGGACTTGCATGAGCCTGACTTGGCCGTCCCTCACTCCAGGGCTGCCAAGGTCCTGTGCAAAAGCCCTCAGAGCTACCAGTGGTCCATGAGATGATGATCTGACTGAAAAGTAGCAACAGAGAAATAAGATTCCTTTTCAATCAAATAAACTTGCAAATGTTGCTGGCCTGGGAGATGAGTACAGGAAGTGTGCAAGCAGTCAACAAAATTATATGTTTAATAGACATGGTTTTATAACAGTTCTGATATAACAGTCCTTAAGCTAAAATTTATTAGAAATGCTGATGGGTTGTTAAAAAATAAAATATGAAGACCTAAAATTTAAATGTGACATTCACATAAGCTTAGGCTTTGGTTGGCAAGGATGCTAATTAAATGAGATTTGCCTGCATCCTTGCTTCATGGCTGTCTTGCTGCATCTATTGAGTGACACTGATAAAGCTGCTCTGTAGGAGCCCAGAATAAAGTTCTGATGAAAACAAATCACTGTGTAAAAGAAAGCAAAAAACTAAAAGAAACCCCAGTTTTGCTGCTTCCTAAAGCTTTTGGAAGCCTAGGTATCTGATCAGGATTGCTGCTTAATAAAGCAGACCAAGGGTCTAGAAATTTGAGGTGGTGTGTGCTTTTCACCTCTGATCCTGTAACTGTACTTTTACTGTCTGACACATTGCCATCCTTTTGGAGCAGAAGTCTCTGTTCTGAATGAATCTACAGCAAATAGATGGAGGCTTAAAAAAACCCAACAAATCCTCTTACATTCTTGTGTGTATTGTGCTATCGCAGGGTAGTGAGTTATTTCCAGGCTGGTGAGGTTTAGGATGATGATACAGCTGCGTACTAGCAAGCTGTTGCAGGATCACACAGGCTGTCTTCATGATAAACAAAACAAGCAACTTGGCTATGAAACTTCCCTGAGGTGGATATTTTACACTTGGAGGATGGATGGTGAAGAGCAGTGGCAGGGATCTGGCTGCGTGTGCTTGTGCATTGCCAAGGAAGATGAAAACATCAGCAAGATCCGTCGTTATCGTACACAAAGCTGTCAGCCCGTAGCGCCTCACCCTGAATTAGCTGTGTGAACACTACAGAGCTGATGCCTGAGTGTTGGAACAGGACCAAGGCCACTGGTGGTCATCAAAGTGGTCTGACTCAAGAGGTCTTTAGCAAGGAGACTTGAAGTTGATAATTCCTTTCTCTTTCCTTGTCCTTCCTTAACTGTTTCATTGCTGTTTATAACCTTCCTGAGGTGATTCTTCTCCCCTTAAGCTGCCTCTCTCCAGCTCTCAAGGCTGCAGTTTCTGAGTGACCAAAGGCAAAGTGTGGCCAGCAGGACCAGGGCAGCGATTATCCCCCTGTACACAGCACTGGTGAGGCCACACCTCAAGTCCTGTGTTCAGATTTGGGTTCTTTACTACAAGAAGGACATTGGAGCCTGTCTGAAGAAAATGAACAAAGCTGGGCAAGGAGCTACCTGACAGGAGGCTGAAGCCCGGTAGGGGTTGGTCTCTTCTCCTAGGTAATAAAGTGCTAAGATGAGAGGAAATGATCTTAAGTTGTGCTCAGAGAAGTTTAGATTCACTATTAAAAAAAAATTCTGCATGAAAAGGATTGGAAAAGGTGCCCAGGGAAGCAGGGAAGGGATTGAGCCAACAGCCTTGGAGGTATTTAAAAGATATGCAGGTATTTTTTTTTCTTGGTGAACAGTCTCAGGTATAGTATTTGGTCCTTCTATCTTCTCTTTTGAAAGTTCTTTTTGTTCCTAGTTGGCCTTTTTTTTTTTTTTTCTTTTTTTTTTTTTTCCTTGTAACCAAGTCATTATAATGAAGAACAAAACTCTGGTACTTCTTAAAACTGTAATAACCAGTGTGTATAACACATCCCCAATAGGTGGTGCTGCATCTATCTTTTCCATCAAGTTGAATTGTTGCATTGCTGGCCCTGATCACCTGGAAAAATTGTCTTTTTGAGTGAAGTTAGTAATCTAATGAAAATTAGTTGTTTAGTTTTGGTTTTTTTATAAATTATTATTGCAATTCATTTGACAAAAGAAATCAAGTGCAACTTTGTACCTTAGTAGTCGGGACAGTTTTCTGATTATAGAAAGACAAAAATCAGGTTTTGGTTCCTCCACCATGGATTAATTGTGGTCAAATATTTAATTGTTAAAATAACAAACAGCTCCTGAGCAGGGAACCAGAACCCTCAAAGTCTCTGTAAAATGTGAACACATTAGGGCATAGAGCCATGGACTTTGGTTCTGATTTTAAATTCTTATGTAAAACAGAATGAAGAATATGTGACAGCTATAATGCATGTACTCTAGGATAACATCTTAAAAGTCAGGCCAGTTGAGAGATGGCAAATTTAAAGCTAAATCCCCTCTAAGTCTAGAATAAAATTTACATCTTTCAGCTCTGAGCAAAAATTTTTGCTACTGTATTATTGTAAACAATGACTGACAGTCAGTTATAAACTCTGGGGTTTTAAAATTAATTCCATTTAAAATGGGAATGGTTGTTTCTTAGGGAGATCAATGTATGTTTTCTCATCAAAAGAAAATCTGTATCATTTGTCACTGGCCTATTTGTATGTAAAATATTTTCCCTAGATTGTTGCTGCTATAAATGAACTTTAAATGCTGCTCCTAAATATGGTCTTTCCTTCCAGAATTACTAGAACATGCTTTTTTCAAAAATTAATAATTTCTTCTGTGACAGATATCAGTCTGGGAAATGTCATCTTGAAATCCAGCAGTTAAGACAGGTATTGTGCCAAACAGTCACTCTTATTTTTTTTTTCTTTAGAAAAAACTAATTTTAAGTGTATAAGCAGCTGTTCTTATACTACCATATAATTGTTAATACAACATATAAAGACCATGCATAAAAGAATGCTGTTACAGAGCTTTCAAACCTCTCTTTCAGAACAAATCTTTTCAAGAACTGAGGCCTTTTTTGGGTGAAATGGCCCAGTAAGACATAATTAGGTTTCACTGTGCTCCAGAACAGCAGTTGTCAGTGACAGAAAGCATTGGAAATAAAGCGACATGGCCCAGAATGAGTGTGTGAACAGAGGCAGAAGAGAGCTGGAACTCTCTTTCCCCACATGCACAGAAATGCTGGTGGAAGTGCTCAGTACCATGAAAATATACCTAAGAAACAGCAGCACTTTCACATGGGAAAACTGTGCTTAAATAAAACAATTTAATTTATTATTTAGCTGACTGTGCAGTTCTACAGTCTTGTAGAAACAGTGATAAATGCTTTTGCTTAGTAAGCGCTAAATCCAGAGAAATCAACTTTAAATCAGTACAAGAATGTTGCTCTAGGCATGATGAACGTCATTCAACATCTAGAATGATGTTCAAGGCATTAATTGCAATTTTTAGGATCTCTGTTTTGTAAGGAACTTCTGAAATCAATTGCAGAGGATCCTGTAGAGCTAGAGAGAAGTGTGGGATGAGTGTTTATTATTTTGTAAAACCTCCCCTTACATTTCAGCTGTCTTCTGATGCTTGTTAGCTTGTTATTGTCAAACTGCTACTACAGTACGATAATGGACTTGTAGCTTCACTGTAAGCCAGTGCTGATAGCCAGGGTGACCAAATTAGTCCAGTGAACATTTCCAGAAAGTTGTCAGTGTATTTTATGCCCTTTTCTTTCTTAAATGCAGGTCTAATAGGCACAATAGTATGTCTAATCTTAGAGGAAGTTATATTCCTAATCATGTTGAATAGGTTGGTTTAAATATAGCATTAAAAATTAGATGTTGATACAGAAACTGCATGTTTTCCTCCTGCCATCTCAGCAGAAAGGCCAGATGTGCCTCAGATAATTCTCTTCTGGCTCTCGTTTTTGGGGATTTTTCCCTGTCCAGCCTCTTTTCATCCTCTAGTAAGGTTATATAGCATAAACCAGAAATTATTTGTGGTTGTGCAAAATGTTACCCAGCTCCTCACAGGGAGGAAAACAGCAACCCCTTTGCCAGCTCCTTTGTTCATCTTTTTGCTAGAGCTGCTTGGCTTTACTTTAAAACTAAACTTGACCCATAATTTTGTCCTTTATTTGTTTATAGTTATGAGTAAATCTTTACTTTCCAGCAATTTGAGAAGCTTGGAATACAGACAAATCCAAAATCACTCCAGTGGAAACTCTAGTGGTGACAATGGTTTCAGGAACAGTTCACTTGAAGTGAAAGCTGATCTGTTAATAGCAGCCCTTAAATATCTGCAAGTATGACCCAAAGGGGAGAGTAAATACTTTGGAACAGTGAGATGCTTCTGTATCACTTGAAATATGAACTGATGAAGAAGGATATTAATTGGCTTGATGAATACTACAAGCTCTATGTTTGCCTTGCCCTTTGGCAGATAATACTTGATGAAGGAATTCAGTTGACTTTGACGGGGCTTGACTGTTCTGGGTTGAAAACTGCATGAACTTTTTTAAGGCTTCCAGATCAGCATGGAGGAGGTGATTTAAAGTACAGATTATGGCTGTGCTGGAACTCTGTAGGTAACTCCAGTGGAAGTGAGCGTCATTAACTTGCTTTTTGCCTCAGCAGGTTTAACTTTATTTTTCCTACTTTCTTCTGAAAGGAAGAGGTATTAATTAGGAAACTGCAGGAATTATCATCACTGATGTAGAATCATGGAATTGTTTAAGCTGGAAAATACATGTAAGATCATCAAGCCTGACCATTAACCCAGCACTGCCGAGCGCATCAGTAACCCATGTCCCCACATGCCACATCCATGTCTTTTAAATCCCTCCAGGGATACACCCAGGGTCTCAGTGCATCATATTGATCAGTACTCTGCCTCTTTCACATCATTTCTAGTTTTCCCCAGTACTAAAGTTTATGTAAATACAACCAGACATTATCTGGTTCTACTAAACTTTACATGTGTACAGTACCAGACATTATCTGGTTGACAAGGACAATAAGCACAGCTGGTTTTCATAGATATGACTAAAAGTGGATGTGGGAATCCATGAGGTAACTGAGCTGAGGTTTTCACAGCAACAGGAGGAATAAAAGAATACAAACAAAAAAAATCCAAATTTAATTCAAAATGCAGCAGTATGTGTACTACTGATATAATTCCAGCGTGGAACAGGGAGAGGTAGCAGAGAGAGTGCTAGAGACACACAGTCATTTCCCAAGGTCTCACTGAAAGCCACAGGATGACAAGACATAGTCCTAAACTGCGCCAGGGGAAGTTTAAGCTGGACACTAGGAGGAGTTTCTTCACAGGAAGGGTGATTAAACATTGGAATAGGCTGCCCAGCGTGGTGGTGGAGTCACCGTCCCCGGAGGTGTTTAAGTAAAGACTGGACATGGAACTCCGTGCTCTGGTCCGGTTGACGTGGTGATCTCCAAGGACTTTTCCAACCTGTCTGATTCTGTGACTCCGCGGTCAGAGCTCCGGGGACTCCGGGCAGGGAGCAGGGCCCCTCAGCTCGGCAGCGCTGCCGATCCCCGTCCCGCGGCCGCTTCCCGCCCGCCCGGGCCGGAGGGCGGAGCGCCCCTTCCCCGTGACCCCGCGGCTCCTCCTCCTCCCCTCCCCGCTCCTCAGTGCCGACGAGTAACCTGGATTCCCGGCCCTCCTCCTCCTCCCTCTTTCTTTTCTTTTTTTTTTTTTTTTTTTTTTTTTTTTTTTTTTTTTTTTTTTTTTTCCTCTCCCCTTTTCTTTTCCTCCCCCTCCCTTTCCTCCTCCTCCTCCTCCTCCCCTTCCCTTCCCCCGACAGCGTCGCCGGGGCTCGGGCTCGCTCCCTCCCCCGTGCCCTCCCCTGGAGCCGCCGCCTCCGCCGCCGCACACGGAGACATGTACCCGGGAGCCCCCTCCGCCGGACCCGGTGAGCTTTCGCCCGGGTTTGCTTCCCTCCTCCGCTCCTCCTGGAGCGGCTTTCCCAGACCGTGTCCGTGGAGAGCCCCGGGAGCGCCTCGCCCCCCCCGGCTCGGGCCTGGCTGGAGCGGCGGCCGCGCTTGCCGGGGGAGGAAGGAGGGTCAGGGCGCCGCCGCCACCTCGGGCAGGGCCGCGTGTCCGGAGGCCCCTCTGAGGGGAGGGTCGCCTTCCCTGCCCCGCTCCCCACTCCCTCTGCCGAGCCCTGAGGCCGGCGTAGCTCCCGCTGCGGACCGGGGTCTCCATTTCCTCCCTCCCGGCTCCATCCCGGGATTCCCGGCTGGCCGCGTGTTCGCCGGCGGCCGCGCTGCGATAGTTGCGCTGTGGAGGTGCGGGTGAAGCGCCCGCATGTCGGGAGGGCTGGGAGAGGTAGCGTTGGGTCCTCAGGCTCGCTCTGCCGTGTGGAGCAAATCTGGGAGCAAAGGAAAGGTGGACGTGCAAAGAAGGGTTAGCAACTCTCTTAGGGACGTTTAATGTCACTTTGGGGAAATACAGGTTAATACCGTTCGAGTTTCTGCAGTTCATACGAGACAATGTTTTTTCCTTTTTAGTGTTAGGTTGTTTCTGTAGTGAGAATTCTTATGTAGAAACAACAGTGTTTGAGTGACTGGAACCTAGTTTTTTTCTAGAAAAGTTTCAAAATAAAGGGAACTTTATTTTATGCTACTGTTCTCAATGGTTTTTCATAAAATGTCTTTCCTTAGAGGGACAATTTGGCAAAGACTGTTGTAGAGAAATACAGGACCTGCAACTGAGATGTCTTTTACTGCTTCTCTCACAGATGCTTCTGTTAAAAGCATTCATATCTTTGGATCCAGAGTTAGGTGCTGTTTTTGGTGGGGTTTTTTTTGTTTTGTTTTTTTGTTGGTTTTTTTTTTCCCTCTGACTTGGTTCTCTTGAAGGGTCAATAATCAAGACAATGAGGATTATTATTTTTCTCTTGAAGTACAGCTCCTCTGTTTTTACTTTCTCAGTGGGCTCTTGCTAGCACAGCAGGCAGACAGGTCTCTACAGCTGTGTCCGACTGATGTTCAAGATCTTGCTTTCATGTGTAACATCACTTGCACATTTCAGTACCAATAACTGTGTAGAGCTATAGATGTAATCCTTTGGTGGTTTCTGATGTCAGGTTCTCTTGCTCAGGCACAGGTACACTTTGAGTTTACAGGTGCTCATGGTGGCTCACATCGGTCTGTTGCTGTGTTCACCTCCTGGTGATAGATCCCATTCAAAACTGTGTTTAAGGAGACAGACAATTAAAAATATTACCAGCATATGGGCTGAGAGTAGTTGCATGTGTGGGAGTCTCTTTATCTTTATTTACTCTGTGTCCAATCCTACCACTTTCCCTTTCACTTGGAATGATCTCCCAGCTGGTGGCTGCTGTTTGCCATCGGGGACCCACGTTTGCTGTGAAACAATGTTTTCCCCTTCCTGGAACAAACAACCTCTTAACCTCGGGCTCCTGACACTGCTGTACTTTCACCAAGTTCTAGGTGGCTGTGTGTTGTCACTGGTGTGTGTCTCGGGCTCCTGCAGTTCTGCTGCCTCCAGCCAAGCTCATCTCTTGTCTTGTTTACTTCCGAGTTTATCAGTGTGGCTCACCCCTTTCTTTCCCCCTGCGTGGCCGCGTCCGTGCAGGGGTAGGAGCTGCGAGTTGTTCTCCACATGGTGAGTGAGGCTCTTCTTCCTTCCTGTGAAATCATCCACGGACAGCCTCAGCAGCACAGTGGATTCTGGCAGCCCAGGCAGCTTCCTGCTCCACTCCACACACAAGGCAAGGCATCTTGGAGATTTTTGTTTGAGCTGTTCAGTGAAGCAGCCTGGAAGCAGGGACTGTGAGGTCCCCTGCCACATGTTAATCTGAAAACTGCAAAACCACTGTGTGTGAAATCCTGCTCGGAGGAGAGAGCAGAAGTGTGGTTTAGAACGCCTCACTGAGCCAGAGCTGCTGTGAACACAGGAAAGCTGCAGCCTCTCCAGGTCTGTCAGCACATCCTTGACACCAAGGAAAGGCTCCATTCATCTCTGCTGTATCCGGATCCTGCTGCCGCTGCCCTCTCCGGACACTGCTGATGCACAGGAGCTGCTTTGCTCACCCAGCTCCCCTTGCCAAACTGGACTCTGCAGCCGAGCCCGTCTGCGGGTGCCCCTGGTGCTGGCCTCCTGCCAGAGGAACCGCTCAGTTTGCCACTGGGCTTGCTATTTTAGTCTTAATTCTTTTTCTGGAAACAGTATCAAGCAAGTTAGGAGGCCATATCTGACTGGTTTCAAAAAATTGCTGCTGAACGTGGAAAGTTTGTTTAAACATGCTATTATGTCAGAAGTAAGATGGGTTTTTATACATGAAGGAGTTGTCATAAAATCAGTTTCCATAATTAGGAAATTAATGATCCCTTTTTGCTTTCTCCCAAATAATGAGTTCTGGACTTGGTGTTGAATTTGCTGTGACATTGTGTCCATGCCCTTTTTTTTTAGCTTCAAGAAAGTGTGAAAAGTAAAAAAACTGAAAATCTGAGAGGAAATTCTTTTTTGAAGAAAAAACTTGATGCTGCTAATTTTTGGTGTATGTTTTTTTAGGACAGAAAAATGTCAAAAGTGGCATAATAAAAGTACTGTAATTAAGTTAAAAGACTTGATTAAAAGCTGCATAAACTTCTGGAACTTGCACTTCTAGGCCTTAATGTATTTATTAATTCTCAACTTTGCACACCACAGATTTCTCTTTTATTCTTTAAAAGGATATTTGACTTTGCTTGATGCTGAAGGCCCTAATTTATTTTTGAAGGAGCAATTGTCTGAAAAAGAGTGTGAAGTTGATCATAGCTTTGCATGTGAAATACCAACTTGTTTCCCCTGGCACGAAAACCAACTTTATTAAATTAGTGGAACTAAAGTTATTTTCTTGTCATTTAGTTTTAAGTTACCCTTTAAAAATTGTGAATAGACTGTTGAAACTTGTAAGTCTGTTTTGGTTTCCAGCGCAGGTACTTGTTTTTACCTTCTGTATATTTTCTTGAAGATTTTGGATGTTGGCAGTTGATTGTCTTTGGGAGTCTTAAAATGTGGTGCGAGGAAGGGTGTTCTCATGCCTTAACTGAGGTACTAGAAATGGCAATATCTTCATATGGTGGAATTTTTATCCACCAGTGTCCTCTTAGCTTGTGTTTCAGTGGCAGCAAGAACTCCCCTGTACCTCCTGTTAAAGGTCTGCCCTTCTCTTCTTAAAAAAGCTTTTTCTGTTCTCTTGGGGGTGGATGTGAACCTGGTCTTACTCTGCTGCTGGTGTCATAGAGTCATCCAGTTTCTTTGGCTTAATTTTAGACCATAAATTAATGCTGAAACTCCTTGTAAGCTGCCACACAAAGAGGAGGGAATGAAAACTTCATATACAGCCTCAGCTCTCTTAGTTTTTGCTAAAATTTAAATGCATTTGACAAAGTTACAGCCTACAAAACACAGCATGACTCTTTCAAATGTGTTGTTGTCATGATTAATATATTTTCCTAAGGAAAGAAAAATTCTATATCATTATGTTGCCTCAGATAACTGTGTTGTCTTCAGGTGGCTTAAAAATGAGGTGGTTTGATGGAAAGATAATTGGTGGTGTCAGATGTGTCACCAAACTTTCTCCTTTCCTTGGAGAACTGAACTATGCTATTTGCTATTGAAAGGTGAAACATCTTTTTCAGCAGTGATTCTCTTGCTGACTTTGTGGTTACATGGGATTTTGTGCATTTACTTTTACTTCATCTTGAAGTTTTTCACTTTTGCAAAATGGTTGTGTGCTGGTACGTACTTAGTGGTGCATTGGAATGTACAGAAGCCGTGCAGAGGAATACCCAAACCTTCTTGACTTCCAGGAAAGTTTTTTTTTTCACAATTTGTAGCCATTCCTTCACTATCACCACCAGTCTGTCTCTCTTTCACAGCAGGGTGGAAAAGGCCTATAAATGCTTTAACTCAGTAAAATACCTTAGATGATCACCTGATGTTCTTGTACCCCTTAGAATTGTATAGGAGGGAGAGATTTTTCTATTTCAGAAACCAGCCCTTCTGAACACTTCTGGCTGTTCAGAAATTGTAGGGATCAGCTGATGAACACAGTAAACTACTAAATTGGCTTTGCACACACAGATAGTTTTAACTAATTAGGAACTTTAAATGCCTGATGAAAGTAATGTTCATGTTGGCTAGGCCTGTCCTGACCACAGCTTCACAGAACTTGTAAGGCCTGTCAAAATGGTGGTGGTGTTTTGCTTCCCTTCATGTTTAAGCAAAATACTTGGTCCTGTTTTTAATGATGAAGTTTCTAATACTCAGCCTTCCAGAAATTATGGCTAAATCTAAATGAAGAAAGGTCAGCCTCCAGTATCTTATTTTTGGTAAGTTATGAACTAGAGAGGGAAAAAAAAAAAAGCTGGTGGAAAATATTACGTAGTTTTAACTGTAGTGGCTGTGGGATCTGTTCCATGCATTGTCCAATTAATTTGTTTTAGTATCTTGCATCCTTTCTGATGTACTCACAAAGCAGCCCACTAGAATGTAAAATATCTCCTCCTATTGACTAGGGAAGCACAGTCCTTTGAATTCAGTGCAAAATAATGTTTGGTTGGTTTTTTTTTTTTCCCACATATATTATAATACACAAATTTGAACTTCAGAAATTAATTATACATTTTATACTGCAGAAATTGGGAAGAGACCTGTATAAAATCAACCCCAGGTACACTGAATCTGTGTAGTGTCTCTCATATTTTACACCAGAGCTGTAATTTGTGAGTCTCTTTGGTAGCCATATCTAAGAAGTTGAAGAGACTTTCTAGTACTGTCCAGGAAGTGGAGTTTTTTTAATCCTCAAGACTGAGGTGATGCCTGTATTTTTATATACTCAGGACTATTTTAATCAGTGGTGTCTTTTAGTCTGTTTAGTGTTCACCACAGATTAGTGCA